GATTCTTCTTGTTTCGTTCTTTTTCCTCTAAGACCTGTTATCCACTTCTTGTATTGGTATAATTCCTCCAGATATTCGTCTAAATAATTGTTAGATAAAGCTTCTTTCTTGTTTATAGGATTCTTCACTTCATTCTCCTCTTGGTTTGATTCCACAATATATATATATAATTCATCGATTTGTTAACAAGAATCTTCTATTCTTTTCTTTCTTTGTTGTGATCTCTGTTCTAAACTTTTTTGTTTAAGAGTTTGGATCCATATTTTATCTTGCTCTAATTTCTCTATATACTCTTCTATCTGTATATCAGATATCTCTGTATTTGTTGAAAATTCTAAATTTTCCTTATCTTCTTTTCTATCATTTTGTATTAGAAAGAGTAAATTTTCTTGTCCAAGTTGCTGAATTAAGTTCTCTTCTATGTCTCTTCTTTAAAGTGCTTGTTGCTCTTCTTTTTTTTTCTTAAAGTCAACTATCCAGTTATTATAAAGCTCCAGTTCTTCTAAATAATCTTCTATTGATTCATTCAATATTTCCGCAGTTTTGTTTTGTTTTCTAGAATCTTCTTTCTCTTCAGTACCCGAATTCCTAGGTGCCATTCCTCTGTTTATATCTGTCACGTAATTCACAATTAAATTATTTTGTTTACTCCTTGACGCATATTTCATTTGTATAACAACAACAGATCTGCAATACAGGGTCAAGTGCAATTTCCCAAAAATTGCTTGCAAAGGGTGAAATTTCATCAGTTCTTTGCCGTTTTTCTTCTTTTTCATCCAAAGCCTTAACATTTTTATCTTCATCTCCTAAGAGACTAGGTGTTATTTTGTGTGTTCTTTCTTTTTACTTAGTACTGCGAACTGTGTTTTCTTTAACGAAATATGTGTTTTATTGATTTTTTGTTTATGTTGAATTTGTGTTCAAAGGATCAGCGAAAAGAGTTGCATGTAAAACGTGCATAGTAATATATATACTGTAATTATTTTTATAATGATCATTATAAATATGTAAATACCCGCTAAATGCTATACATAAATTTTAATACGTATAGGTCTGAGCAGACAAACAAGTCATCACGAAACGAATGAAAGTCACGAATTCAGAAAAGAAGCCGGATCTACAAGTTTTGTTAAAGCTTGACACAGTGGAAAATGAAATAGTACTTGCTGAGGTTTTACGATTACTGCCTCAACAAGATAAAGAAATTATCGACTAGAAAAAATTGGTACGTATTTGCAAAGATTGTTTTAATGAATGATATAATGTTTTTTTTGATGGGAAGGATGATACTACCAATATAGCCAGATCAATAAATGTCAAGTTAGGGAAAGTTCCTGTTTTAGGTATCCAAGTAATATGAGATCGTGTGATCATTTCTGCGTTAGACTTATTTGAAGATGATTTTTATCGGGTTTTCTGAATCTCTGAGTTAGTTATACCATTACATATTTCCTCACGGCCGATAGTTGAAGAATTTTTAAAGAACACCCTTAAAATGAGGTTCATGGTGGAAAAAATTATTGCAATGTCTGTTGATGTGAAGGACGAAATTAGTCTTTTGCCAGTAACTGAAGATCAGACTCCATCAACATCAATGATGTTGACAACATATTCTCCGCCAAAAAATTTTTAGATAAAAAATTTCTGAATATGTATATTTTTATTTCATATTTTGTTTTTATTTTTTATATCAATAAAGCTAAGGATTTTTCCTTCTACGAGTGTTTTTATGAAAACCATGTCAAATATTAAATATATTTAATACTATATATTTTTTATTGCGTATTAATAAATAATTTAACATAGACAATGACTGAAAATAATATTAATTCTGATGTTAACATCTCAACTATAATTAAAGAATTTGCTAAAATGAAAATTAATGGGAATAACCATGAATCTCAAAATATTAATGATGCAATATCTAGTATTGTTAGGCAAGTATCGGGTAAAAAAATCTGGATCTCTCTTCACCGATTATTGGAGATAGTGAAACCTGAGATTCAGCAAGATATTATAAACTCAATAGCAAATCCAGATATTTCTCGAAGAAATCGTACATCATGTAAGAAAATTTTAAGAGACAAAGCTGAAAAAAACTAATTTTTAATGATACTGCATTCGAATCCTCATCTTCATCTGAATCTGAGTCTGACTCTGAATCATCTAATAATAATAAAAATTTTATTATAGATATGGTAAAAGTGAAGAAGCGTGATTAGTCTTTATCATAGATCCGGAATATTGGAAGAAGCTGGTTCATATTTGTAAGGATTGTTTCGATGAACGTTATAATATTTTTTTAAAAATAGAGATGACACTTCTTCCGGAGCAAGGTTAATACTGTATATTTCATGAATTTATTTTATTGTATTTATGTTACTCATGTATAATCGAGAATTTTTTGGTAAAGTAATAGAGCGTGAAATTTTTTACCCAGACATTAGTCTACAAACAATAGTATAGACATCATGTATCACAGGCTAGATCCTGAACATTTGTATTTATTTTTCGTATGTACTGTATTAATAAAAAATTTTGGCAAATTTCGCTTACGGGGCCATGAGGAAAAAAAACAGGATATTTTTTTTTATTTTGAATGCTTATACACAGTGTATTAGTTATATAGATCATGTTATCCAGTTTGAATTATTAAAACAGCATATCACTGAACTTGAGGCTGAGAATGCAGAGCTTAGGAAGGAGAATATTGAGATCACTGATCTTAGAAGAAAGATCTCAGAGTTTTATAGTGAGAGAGCTGAACTTATGCGTGGGATTTCTGAGGCTCTAAAAATGACTAAGGAAGAAAGAACGAGGTGTGCTGTCTATAAATAATTAGTTTACTTTTGCATATATATTCATGAATTTATTTATAGTATTATTAATGATAAATATTACTAGCATATTACCAAAAATTTTCTTGGCAAAGTGATCCGCATTCTGAAATAAAAAGATATATTATTTACATTGCACTAATTTAAAATGGCCAGAGATTTCACTCGATGAGGTACTAAAAGCATATCCTGAAATTGCAATTTCTAACCAGCCAATCATATGGAACCATACTCTAAAGTTTCCAGATAAGAGCATAACAGTGAAAGCATGATTGTAGATGGGTCTTTGCAAATAAGTATCATAATCAATTTTAGGCATAAAGTACCATTTCTACCGAAATAAATCTTGACTATTTTTTTGCCTACACGATCACGTTAAATAAAAAATGAAGCCCTTAGGACCCAAAATATCATGTTTCGAAATAATGGCACTTCGTGCCCGGAATCTTGCTTTATTAATATAAAAACTTTACCGAAGTAAAGATATATAAAAAATAAAAAAAAAATTTCTATATCAATCAATCTCGCTCTAATCATATCTTTCCTAATCACTACAATTAGCATCAGTAACTGGAGAACACATCATTACGAAGGCGGTCAGAGATATGTTCATATCTTTCTATTTCTTTAATATCGTAATTATCTAATTCATACCCTAATTCATATCCTAATTAAAAACAATGAAAAACTTACTCCTGAGAATTATTAATTGATAGGCATAGTAAATAATTATGTAATACAGAGTTTACTTATGAGATATTTTTTCTTTCAGCTTGTTTTGAGGTTTGGGTTTGGGTTTAGATAAAGTTTGGGCATTACTCTTGTTGGTCTTGGCAGTGGTGCTATCATTAGTCTTGGGGGTGGTAGTGTTGTTGGTCTTGGGGGTGGTGCCATTGTTAGTGCTTATTTTTTGTTTCTGAATACAAAAAATCATAGTAAGTAAAAATTCGTCTTCATAGTCTCCGTTAAATGGCAAAAACATTACTTTTTTAAAAAAAATTCGGTAAGTGAATCAAGTTAAAAATATATATAAGCAAAAAATAACGTTATTGCTAACTTATAGGCAGGGAACTTGCTTATTTTTATACCGTCCATTTGCTAGATCAAAAAACTTGCTAGAAAAAAATTATATGATTAGTAATTACGTTATCCAAATCCAACACCAGTTTTTTTTCTCCATAAAGCAAGTCTATTCGGTCATAAGTTCCAAATGCTGAATCTATTTTGTTATTTTTTCTGGTAAAATTAACCTCCTTTAGATTCGATGATCGCTTAAGGTGGATTTAGATCTGATGATCTCGGAGATGATGAAGATTCGAAGTCCCTGTAACATATGAATTTTGATAAAACTATTGATTAAGAACGTTATACTCATTGCCCTTATAGCCTTTTTAAGTCCCATTCTTATCGCGGAATCTTATATAATAAGAAAAGCACAGTCTAGTTAATCATAATATTCGTTAATAAAAAAATTGACTGTGAGAATTAATTATGCGGAAGAGTGACACCACATAAAGTTTAATACAGGCTATTGATTATTAAAGCCAGTCAAGGTTTTATTGCACATTCGAACTGATAGATCTGAATATTAAGTGATCGCTATCGTTATTATAAAAATATAAAAATATTAGTTAACTATTAATTAACTATGCTCCGATGGCCTCTGAAGGCTGTCAGGGAGGACAAAATTTATGCGATAAGAATTTTTTGCGGTCCCATAGGACCATTAATTCATGTAATAGTATGGCATAATAAATACTGTATCAATTTTTTCTGATTTATCGTTACAAATAATCACACTGTGACTCATAAATTTAGCACCTTGTGCTTGCTTTGCTAAAAATTTCATTTAGTTTTAAAATAGTAAATTTATATAGATCAGGTGAAAAAAACAGTTGATAGAACGTGGTTGCATTAAAATAGCGCACATATGTATTTACAAGCATTTTTGAAAACAAACCTGCGCTCTCGAATATTCACAGCCCAATATATATTATGACACTTATTCTAAATTTGTAGATGAGCCGAAGTGCCAAATATATCAAAATTTTTAGTATCAAAAATTGCGATTCGTGTTGATTAAACATCTAACATGCGCTTTATTCTAAAATTAGAAAAAAATATTTCTGATTCACGACTGGGGTATATAAATATTTATAGATTATTAAATAATCCGCCCCTTAAAAACAAACATGAAGCTAACAATTATATATAAACCACGTAGCAATATGGATGGCCTGGATTTATATAACAGATAAGGCAATAGTATCGCCATATATAAATCTTTTTTTTCATTCTATAACCAAATTTTTTTACTGATATTCCATTTTTTTATACTAGATTACCTTCATGTTGATAAGACAGTCGCTTAAGTTATTCGCATGGGTTCGTGGAATTCAACAGGGCCATGATAGTCCTGTGCTTTAATGAAGGTGATTTGTCTGGTTCGTGAAAATACACAATCTAACCGTACTTTTAATATATCAGGTGTAGTTATAACCTTTCGAGGCAGGCTTAGGATCTGACTATTATCTCCCTAATTTTTTTCTATATTCTTATAAAAACACTCATAGAGGGCGCAATTGTCAGATTATCATTGTCTGCATAGCGAAGAGAGGAAAACCCGATGAGCTTCCCGCGGTTTAGTCCACTGAGCTACGAGATGAGAAATAGTTTGAATGTATCCACCTCGAAATTCTTTTTCTCACATTCATTTCGAAAAAAAGAAAAGTTATCAGAGAAAACAAGCAGGATAAATTATCTCCTATAGATCAACAGATAAGAGAGAGTCTAATCCAAAAATTTTTAAGTTACGCTGGATGAATCGGGTAAATAATACATTTTTATTTCTTGCACGAGATTATATTGTGTTAATAGATCGACCACCCAGGTTACTTGTTATGGGTATGTATAGTTATGCAAAAAATTTCGCTTGAGTCTTCAGATCTTGATGATAGGGCCTCTGACTATGTGTGTTGTGTATTCGAAAGGGCATAATCATCATTGCTGGTGGCCCAGTACTTTGACTTGGGTGGTTTGTTCAGTCTGCAAAAATAATCAATTAGATGATTCGATTGGACCATATAAAATATAATTTTAATCGTATTTTTTTATTTTTTACGAGATTTTCTCTATGTAAATTGCAAAGATACTACCCCAATCAAGAGAGATCCGCAAAACCATGTAGGTCACAAATATAAATCCAGTATGTTCGTAATAGAATAAAAATGAATTCTACATTATTATAGTATAAGTTAATAAAGAATCGCTATAAATAGCCAAAAACGTTAAGAATTACTAAAATCGGCTATAAACTATTTATAATCATAAAATGGTTAAAACTAACTTCTATTCTGATTTAAATTCTGTAGTAGTGCAGGCACTAAATGATTTGCAATATAGGTATAGTAATGAAACGCCTGAAATGTGGTGTTTACGTATTCGTTATCCATTTAGGACACTTCTAGAAAATAACCCAAAATACTTCTCCAAGAACGGATTTATCCAAATGATTGAAAGATCTAGAGATGGAGGATTTATGGTTGAGAAGCGTTCATTTTATATTTATTGTACTGTATGTGACACTTTGGTATTTATCTACGAAAATACTATCGAATATGCTAGTAATCACCTGAAGAAATGCATTACTGAAAAACCCCTCACATATTCTAAACCTGTATGGAAAAATGTGAAAAATGGAGGAATGCCAAGCCAAAAGAGTGTATCATTGCTCAGTCCCGATGAGATTGAAAAAATTTATCAAACATATTGAGTTATGTACAGTAAAGGTTTGGCTTATTATAGTTATAATTATTTATATGAGGGTAGAGAAGAGATTGTAAATCGGTTAATTAATAATGCAAAAGTTATCCAACAGGCTTGAAGAGCTTTCAAGTTGAGACCCGAAACATGGGCAAAACAAGTTTGGAATATGATAAGAAATGATGGCACTCCCGACAAGAAGAAGTTTTTAGGTATAACTTCTCGTGATATAAGAATTCCTGATGATCGATATATAGATTATTTTGGTTAAAAAATTCAAGCTAAAGATGTGCCTACACATTATCAGAAATCTCCTATTTTATTTGATCATTATACTCCGTATAGGTGGCTAGAAAAGAAGAAAGAACAGTTATGGGAACGATTAGGCCTTGTATCATATATATTTGCTTTCATAATATTACATCGGCAAGACTATAGAATCGTTGAATATTCAGGATAGACTTATATGTTAAAGTGGCTATCGAATCCTGAATATTATTGTATTAATGAATTTGGTAATGAAAGATTTGTTAGAAGTTTAGAGTATGCATGATACATGTGTAAAACACATAGCAAATCATATCCATGTGATTCACTAAAAATCAACTATTTCGAAACTAAATATCTTTATATCCTAGGAGAAGAAATTAACGTAGATTTCTTAGATTCAAACAATAACTGTGAGTATGTGCGCCGAATTTTCTGGACCATGAATTCTTTATTATAATAATTTATTTTTTATAGTTGTTCACCGTTTTCCTAATGCTATTCTTGATATTAATTTTTATTTATCTACCCAACACAGATAGAAAAATGTCAATGTGAAATTTTCAAGATGACCCCATCCTGGAAAAATCTATAATTTTTATATAAGTGCTTTGGAAGTTTGTGAACAAACAAATCATCCCTCCTCAAAAATAAATTTTTTCGGAGTGAAGTGAAACAAGAGTTTTGTGAAATTTTATCTAAAAAATTTTCTGATTACTTTTTTTTTCTATTTTCAAATTTATGAGAAAATAGGGGATCCACAATTTGACCGATTCTATTCATTAGCTAGTGCACTTTTTTCCTTGTGCTTCTGCCTTGCCTCTATCTCCTTCTGCAAGTTTAGTGAAGTATCAAACCTTAGTAAAATTGCAAGAGGATCATCCTCTGGCCTGGTGAGATCAAATACAACAAATTCACCTTTGTGGAGGTAGCTGTTAATAACCATAGATGCATTTTTTACATCATCGGTATAGCGCCTAATGATCTTGGAAATATCTTCATGCGAGCTACCGGAGTTAAAAATTACTAAGTGAGAGGTATAAGAAAAAATGGTATTTCTTATATGTGTATTTCAATAAAGCATTTCAGGTTTTATTTTTAAGTGTGTTCTGCATACATCAATGATCACTGCTAAATATAATATAAAGTACTTTTTGAAAGTACTGCGCCATTCCTTCTGCACAATTTTGATGAGCCCAGACACGGTGTCCAGACTTTACAATCAGAAAAAAGAAGATAAAATTATCCGGCTAATCAGAGTCATATGCTTCATCCCACCTAGGTGAAAGCTGTTTCTTCTGCACAATCCCTTATTAATATCATGTGATTGTGAATCATTTCCAATTATCATTAGAATATACTCACGAAATAACAATAATAGGTGAATCTTGAGTCACGTCTGTATTTACATATATAGCCCAGAATTCGATAAAAAGTTTTTTCACTCAATTTACTCTGAACTACATAATCATGTTTAGGCCTAACACTCAACCTAAAGTAGGAATTTGAACATGGATGAACCTTTGATCTTTTTTGTGGGTCCAAACATAATGATACCTTTTCGCTTTTTCTTTCCTTAATATCCAAAACAGATACCGCATGAGTATTTCAAGCAAAATGGTCAGAATGGAACATTCTGGGTTTCCTTGATGAATGCAACTTGAAAATGTTTGGACAAAAAATAGAGGAGTACCTTTTATCTCTCAAGGTAATTGCTAATAGGGGGGAAGGTAAAAGACACGAAAAAGCACAAAGACTGCTTGATAACTATAAGAAAGCAAGTATAAGTCTTTGTTGAAATATAGAAATTAGTGGCGAAGTAGAGGATCTCTGAGATCTTCTATCATTCAAGTCTCTGAGACGAGCCACAAAACTAATGTTGAGACACAAGTGACCTCCGAGGGTACTTGATGTTAAAGTCTTCGAGATGACTCAACATTAGTCCACCAGCGCACAGACAATCTTCGAAAAATACAAAATTTATTTATAAGATTCTGTATCATATATTATTAAAGAGAATTATCCATTCATAGTATCATTAAGAGTAAAGATAGTAAAGATGGGAATCCGATCAGTATAAACACAAATTGTCTGGTGTTAAGTCTCCAAGACCACCTGGTGGGATGAAAATCGGTTAAGAATATTATTACTAATTTCTAAATCCACCATGTTAGAATTCTCGTCAAGATCATCAACTAGCAAAAGAATGGGAAGAAGACCATGAAAATCAATCCGCAGTCCACCTCCACAATCTAATATTTACAGATATTGGCATTATGTACGGTGTAGCTGGGACGATTAATGGTGATACAATTACATCTTGATCAATCAATCGACAAAAACGGAAGAAAAGCCTATCTATTTTAAAAAAGATTAGGAGTTGATTTGGTATAAAAAATGGTGGTTTGAATTATAGTGAACTTTTTTTAATGACTACTTATCGTATCTATAGAATAAAGAACAGGTTGCAGTTACTTCAAAGAAGGTCAATATAAAGTGTAACCTTATGATAAGGATTTGTTAACCCGAATTTCTCAAAAAAAAGTTTTTTTGTGTGTGTGAACAGGTAAAACCGATGTGGAAGATGATGATCTATTTATTAACAACAATTCATCATTATCAAGTACCGTACAAGATTCCTTCATATCTACTTCCAAGTCACAAAATCTTGATAAGACAGAATCAATTGCCATGGATCAAGATGAAGAAGAAGTCAAGAAGCTCACACAGGTATTTTATTATTTGTTAGGTTTATTACTTTTTATTTATTTGTTCATTTCTATTTAATTTTCTAGAACGAAAGGGACATTTGTAATAAATTACTCGCTATTTTGTCTACACAAAAAGAACAAGATAAAAAGTTCAGAAAAGATTGCATGACATCTATATCTCTTAACAATATCATTGATTTATCTAATGATAAGGTGTCCGAAAGAGTTTATAAATCATTGGATGAAAGACAAAATGAATAGTTCTCAAGCAACGGTCCTGGAAACAAACCGATGAATTTAAGAAATATGTTTATCAATTCACCGAAGATGTTTGTGATAGAACAACCATTCCATATTTGGTTCGCAAGTCTTTTGTAACTCCAATTGAAATATTCAATTCTTATCGTCATGAGGGTCATGATATAGCACAACAGATTTTAACACATTTGTAAGTTTTATTTGGAGTATTTAACAATTCACAACTAAAAACTCAATAATTTTTCTATAAATAGTTCTGAGTGATTTGAAGCACCAACAAGAATTGAAAACAAATCCCTTGATTATGAAAGAACTTATTCAATAGATACAACAATATATATTATAAATAGGTTATTCCGTATGCATCAAGATGTGGTTGAACTTGTATAATAAGTATTAATTTGTAAAATTCAAAATAATAAAGCCAAATTCGTTGTTAATTTTTTCTGTTTTACTTAGGATCGAGTTAACAACCCTCTATACAAAAAATCACAAAATGGACAGACTTGTTAAAGTGATCAAGACAAAACAAAGTCAAGCTGTAATTCTATTCGAGTTCTTCTATAGCAGACAAGCATCTGAATCAAAAGAAGATGGAGATGAGGTTAAATTATATAGAAATTCTATACGAATTCTAAATAACCTATTACAGAATGTATCTAAAGATATAGCATGCATTTATTTGGTACAATCTGCCAGTAAGTATTTAATTAGATGATAGGTAATAAAAAGTTTAGTGACTCTAATATATGTTTTTTTTTATAGATAGTTTAATTAAAATCAAGTATTTGATTCGTCCTCTATCATCAATCTACATTCTTCAAACATTCACAATTATCAAGATACTAGTGTCATTTGATGATTTTGAACAATCTGCAAAAATCATGGTTGATTTAATGAACTTGCAGGTATGGATTAGAAATGTTTACATATGCTCTTATCAAATATTAATAAAATAACCAACTTTGTTATTACAGGCTGACATGTTGTTAACAATTAAAGCAATGAATAAAGTTGTAACTAAACCTAATAATATCAATACAACTTCAGCACAGGATACATCAGAAAAGAATATGAAGGTGGAAAAACCCTCATCTCCCAAATCTCTATGTCTCAGTGGATCACTTTCAGAATTACTATCATTGATTTAAAAGTTATTAGGTTCTTTTTTACACTATAGTTTATATTTTTCTCCATGTAATACTTATTTGTTAGCGTTACATTGTAATTGCATCCGAATAAGAATAATAATATATTGCGTGATATAATAAATTGATCCTATATTGAGAAATTCTTTTACAGTTCTAGAAAATTCCATAGTTTAGGAAATTAATGAACCATAAATGATCGCTTTATTCAATTAATATAATATTCCTTTACTATGCCTGTATCGTGCAAAAAAAAATTGTAATATTAGCATTTATCCGAAGTTGGCTAATAAAATAATAATAAAATTTTAGATTTTTTCTTGAAAATAACAAAATTGTTCGAAATATGAATAAATGCATTTAAAGTTTTAACTCTATTCAATTGAGACCCAATTCACGAAGATGCTCTGGAATAGTTATATATGGGTCTTCATAGTACCAAACATATCTCAAGGCAATCTGGTTCTTTTCGTATAATTCTTTTTTAAATTGATCCCGCTCTTGTTGTTTAGTGAAATTATTGGGATCACTATTATGAAAGAATTCTATATATCTTTTATGTTGTTCTCCTTGTACTTCAATTGCAAATCCATATTGCGGGTAATAAATATCAAGTTCTAATTCAGTTGGGTGATTTAAAGTTTTAAGAAAATAGGGTTGACGTATTTTAGATGGCGGTCCAAGATATTTTAACATAATCTCTCGACACAATTTTTCACGTTTATATTTAGAGCAATATAGACACCATGTATTATCATTTTTTACATGAGAAAGGGTAGCATACCATTGATAGTTTTTATTGCATCTCCAGAGTAATTGACTTTTGCAATTAATATAAGAATCTGTCAAGCATTCCCCGGCTCAACTATATACAATAGATTTGGCTATTGCAATATCAAATTTTGTACTAGCACAATGCGGGCACCAATAGTTTTTGTTTTTAATACCACTGATGGAAGCAAGCCATTCATGTGATTTGAAACACCTCCATCATAAATGCGCTGTATAATTGATGTAAACATCAGATAAACTTTCTCCATTTCTGCTACGTGCTAATTCTTTCGTATATTCAATGTCAAGTTTCTCAGATTTATCTACACAATGTGGACACCAAGTTCCTCTTTGAATACTATCAATCCTAGCGAGCCATGAATGTCTTTCAGAACATCTCCAAGAGAGTGGAGTACGTCTGTTATGATAAGAACTAGAAAGACATGTCCCGGCCCTTTTATTTGCAAGATTTTGAGCAAATTCAAGTCCAAGTTTCATGCATTCCTGGCACCAATTTCCTTTATTTTTAACATCTGAAAGAGATAGGTGAAATTGATGATTATTTTTGCATTCCCATAAAAGAGGTGAGCTATTGTTAATATAATTATCGGAAACACATTTTCCATTTTTAGTACATGCAATTTGCTTAGCAATTTCAAGAGTAAGTAGTTTTCTATAGGCACAGTCTGGATACCACTTGTTACATTTTATACTAGCAAGACTCGCATATCATTCATGTTATTTATTACAACGCTATAATAAAGTTGATTTACTATTAATATATTTTTCTGAGAGACATTTACCATTTTTGTTACATGCTAATTCTTTAGTAACTGAAATACTTAGTCTAGTATCTGAACAAGTGGGGCACCATGTTTTACCATTTTTTATACTATTAAATGTAGCAAACCATTCGTGTCCTTTTATGCATTTCCAATACATTAGGGTTACATTATTAACATATTCTTTGGAAAAACATTTTCCTTCACGAGATTCAGCTATCTTTATTGCATCACTTAAAGATAATTTCTTAGTCATTGCAGTTAGTAATTATTTATTTTTAATAATTATCCTACTTTTCAAAATACTATGGAGTATTACGAACTATGAAAATTAGATGAAACTATACCTTCGAAAAAACAGAATCCATTCGCTCCTAAATATTCATTTAGACTACTAGTTGCAGGCACCTCTGAGTCTGGAAAGATGAGCATAATAGTGCATTTGCTTATAGGAAGTAAATATCCAAAAATATATCCATGGATGTCTGGTAAAAAACATGGTCATAAAATACCAAAGGTGGGAGTAAAAATTTTGGCAAAAGGTATATTCCATGTGATGATCTAATTGTTGTTGTGCAACACCAAGATGAAGAGTTATAGGAAGCAATACAATGTTTTTATAAATTTATAGCTATGGATAAACAAGCTCCATGGTATGAAAATGTGAGATTCAAGCTGATCGCACCTGAAGAACTACCTGATATTTCATCTTTCAAAAGAACTAGCCGATTTACTGTTATAGTCTTTGATGATCTTGCCAGCGAACCTCTGGCAACTCAACTAAAAATTATTTCTTTCTTTAGGTTAGGTAGACATGATGGAATTAGCTCAATTTATATTGCTTAGCGTTTCTATGAAACCCATCCAAATATACACAGAAATCTTAAATACATTTCATTGCATCATGGATGTGAAACTTTAGATACCATAAAGCGAATTCTTAAAGATACATACACATGATGTTTATGAACCTTTAGCAAAAAAAATTTATGAAGTAATAAAAAAGCACTTTGTGGTTATTGATATCCAAAGACCATCTAATGACCCCTTATCAATTAGATTTAGATGGGATAAGTCTTTAAAGGATTGGCAAAATAGTTGAACTTGGAATAATTTATGCTTTGTGGCCTCGTCCATATCCATAAGGTAGAGTTTTATAGGTGGTAGTTCTTTTTTTTGGTTCTTTTGTATGACAGATTGGGAATTCATAACTATGATTTCTATTTAAGGCTATTTTATAATTTGAAATATTTTTTGCCTCTTCATTATGGGGCAAAATAAAAGAATATAAATAAGAGGATATGCACCATAGAAAGTATATAATTAGTAATATTATTACGAGAAAAAATGCAAGCTGAAAAAAGAAGGAATTGGGTGATACTGAGGTCGTTTCAGTACTAGTGATGCCATTATCCTTCTCCTGTCCACTAACACCTCCAATCACTTCATTAGTCTTACTGGATGCTTCTGAAATCTGCTCTGCTAAATGAGTATTGGTTTCTTGAGGAAGGGACTCTTTTTTCAAAGAGTTCTCAGCTGAGTCTGGATCCACTTCAGCTTCATCTATTATGTTTGATTCGTGAGATGACTGGGATATTTGTTGTTCTAACTGGTCTTCCAATTCTCTCACTCTAGATCTAAGACAGCTAATTAACCCATAACTACGTAATATACCTCTTTCTAGTTCGTTTACTTTAGCTTCAAGAGAGGTGATTTCAGAATCCTTATGCCCTACCTCGGCTTCCAATTCATCTTTTTTTGAATTTAAATCATCCCTTTCTTGCTCCAATGTATAATTAAGGGAATGTAATTCACTTATTTTATCTCCAAAAGCATCGATATAAGCATTATGAGATGTGCATTCTAATTTCAACTCGAATTTCAATTCATCTATTTTGGCTTCTAATTCACTTACCTTAGCTTCAAGAGAAAGAATCTCATCCTTGTCAAGGGACGAAGCATTCTGAGTGAGGGTCGCTGTTCTCTTTAGTGTTTTAATCTCAGATTTAAGTGATTAGATTTTAGTATGGGATGCCCGTTTAGAAAATCTAAGCCTAGTATTGGATGTATTCAGCTGGCTAATCTTTTTTTTAGTATTGGCTTGAACTAGCTCAAGATCCTTTTGTTGCTTTAAATATACACCTTGCAGGTCTTTATATTCATTAGCAATATCAGAAGCAGTTTTGATGCTACCATGCAATGCTTTTTCAAGTTCTGATTCGCGGATACTACCAAGCCAATGACCTCTATTCTTGATATCTCTTAATGTGTGTACAATGGACATAATTATAGGCTGGCTATGAAGTAGAGAAAAAAAAGATATTAAATATTAAGCAATGCCAAACTTCTTAGCAAATGAATGGATGAAATTTTCATCTAAATCATCATAGCCATTTTCTTAGTGAGAATTATTTTTTAGATAGATCCAAATTGTGCATAGCACTGATACTTCATGTAATAATATTTTTTTACATGCATTTTTACTAATACTACAAATAGTCTCCATATTATGCGTAGAATTAATCCTTCCGATACTCTGCACAATACTGGTTCTTTGGATAGTTTTGATAATGCGCATAGTCCATATAGTATTAATATTTCGCATACAGATTTTTTAATAATAGTATGAAAATCTGATCGACTGCCAATATGATCAATCCCCCACTCAGAAGATATATACGCTCTGATGCTACAAAATTATCTACAGCAGATTATGAAGACATCATGCAATACCGGGATATGAAGTCCAAGCCTTTGGATCAATTAAGAAAAAAATTCTATGTATCAACTTCTCGTTTATATCAGATTTGGAGAGGACAGGAAATAGAAAGAGTCGAATAGAACTATTCAGCAGTTCCGCTTTCCTATTCAAGTACAAATGATATAAATAAACAGAATAGGACGGATTTGGGGTCTAATTCAGTTTCAGAAGAAAGTGCAAGCAGTAAGGCAAAAAAGACTGAAGGAAAAAAACGGTCTCAAGAGAATCAACCCAAGTTTGTTAGCATCTCTGAGCTAACTATTACTTAGAATCAACTAATACCTGGAACAAAAAAAGAAATTATTTCGCCTACTAAATTCTCTAAGGATATCTTGGATTTGTTTAAGAAAACTAATAATGATATAGAAAAAATTAGAGCATCTGGTCATGTTTTTATTTCCAAATAGTTATTTGACTTTAGTTTCACATCGTCTAAGCAAACTATTATAGTATTCTATAATTTCTAAATTCGATTGAATGCTAGAAAATAATGCTTTTCCGAGCTCTTTCATACAAATTATCATATCCTCATAATTCATGCAATTTGCGCACTTTTTTTTAAGTCTTCACTAATTGGGCTAGAAGAATTAGTGGATGCTTGACCCTGCTCCTCTTTTGGCGGTTTCTTAGCTACTGGGGCCTTGCTATATGTTGGAATAACATAAGTCTTTCTATATAACTTTATGCGGAACTAGTTTTTATTTGGCTCAGAAACACCTTGGAGCTTTCGAATATTAGACATACCTAAAAATAGCATTGGTTCAGGTTCGCCATTATCTATATATACAAAATTTCCAATAACTGTAACTGTCTTTCTCTCTTTGTCTTTCATAATAACCGGCACATCTGTGTACCATCCTAATGAATCAGTAATATGTTTGAAATTGCTCTTTATAGCAAAAGCAGATGGCTTATCAGCCTTCTATCCAAGTGCCTTAATTGCCAGGTCATTTATACCACCAAATTCACTTTCAGGATCTAAAAAAGATTCAGAAATCGCTAAATCATTTATATTTGCATTCAGATATTGTAGAGATGAAAACCACTCATCTGATTCCTTTTCCAGAGTCTTTCGAGATAGACATATTTTATGCATTGCCAGTGAAAGCTTTGGCAAAAGCTTATTATACGTTTCAGACTGGTTATCTTCTATTGGTACCTGTTTTTTTTTACTGGCGAATCATACCCGGTCCATCTATTATTTTCTTCATCATAACCACCACTATTATCATCATCATCTGAAGCTGGAGGTGTGTATTGGGATTGTGAAGATGAAAGTTGAGGATAGTAACGTGTAAAATTTGATTTAGCTAGAGGTTTTTTGGATTGATTATCGAGTATCATCTTTTTGAATTGAGATGTCATTTGACCGATTTCATCTACTTTCGATTCTATTCTATCTATTCTAGTATTTTGATTTGATGAATATAATCGTTCTGGGTGAGGTCTTTGAAAGGGTTTTACAGAATAAGCCGAGTCTAAATCATTCTTATTAAATAAACCTAATTCTTTTAAGTATTCGGCTACATAATAATTTTTGAGACCTTCTTCTGATTGCAATGATAATAGGGGACCTTTCGGCTGTCTAACTGGCTCTACTATCTGTGGAGCAGGTGTTTGTGCTTTTTGAGCAACAGCTTGCTGGGCCATTTGTGATTGGTAATCAGCCTTTTGCTTTTTTAATAAAGACTGGTATTTAGTTTTTTGCTGTGCCAGTGCGTTTTGGATTGCTTTTTGCATATCTTCTAAAGAAACTCCTTGTTGTTGAGAAGCTGAAACGGGTAAGAGTTCATATATTTCTCAAGATATTAGCGGATTAAGCATTCTATCTCTTTTATGCCTAGCTATTCGGCGCAACTCTATCTCATATAGCTTTTTAGCTAATTCATCTAATGACAAATATTCATGATGTCCTCAGCCTTTTCAAGCCATGGGAGTGGAAGAGCATCTAAAAACTTTCTACGTAATTCTTCAGGCCTATAGTTGGTTCATCTACCTATTCGCAATAATTTTCTATATAAATCATCTATAGTCATGTTTCCCTTTCTGATTATTCCATACATTAAATTCCGAAGCTCCTCTTCCACTGTAGGAAAATGTGTTTTTAGCCACCATATGGCTTGACCGAAACGAATGCCAGCTACAACTACTGTAGTATCATTATTAGCATTTGGTGCATTAACAGCAATGTTAGTAGGTCGACCACCTGCTATGGGTCAATCTTCATCCTATGGACCTTCTACAGCTCTCAACTTGACTATTGCAGTTCCTGGTTGGCCGAGTGCCTCATTTAATATTTGATTTCCTATCTGAACTGCCGTTCATCCATTTACTGCTACTAAGTTAGCCTGCATTGTATTATCAAGTAAGTTTGCTAATTCTCAATTCTGTTTTGTAGTAATTTCTTCATCAAACCATTCTAAAGCTCTTCCTCTCATATAGCCTCTTAAATATCTCATAGCTATTTTTCTTTCCGTTGGTGGACCCCGCATTATCTGCTGGATTTACACCTTGGTTTTGCAAATATAATCTTAGTTTCGCAAGAAAATCTGGGATATCATCACCCCAGTTAAAAAATGGTTGCAGAATTTCTGCCATATTTTTTTGATTTTGTTGATTATTATGTAGTGCCAAAATTTGTTGATTTAAATTTAAATTATTCTGGCGCTCTGCATGAGTCTTATTTTTCCACTTCTCGTATCGTTTATACAATCTATCTCGATTATATTCTAGCAAACCTCTATCGGCTCTGCATTGTTGTAAGTGGAGGATATTTTGCTGATATAATAACTGAAAAGCAAAATTTTTATATAGCAATTCACTGATGCGGGTTTGTTTTCTTGCCATATTATCTATCATTCTATTCACTTGGTTTTGTGCATTAGTCCGTAATTGATGAAGATTAAGCAATACCTGATCTCGCTCTTGCCTGTATATATCCCAGTTCCATTGTTCGTTTACCAGATCTTGTTGCAGGTTAGTGTATTTATGTCAAATTGCCCTAGTTGATCTTTTAATTTGATTTGTTAAAATAGTTCTATATATTGTTGTATTTTCTAGGGATTGGTCTATAGCATCAGCCAATTTAGCTATTGTACCCATATTATTATCAGAATTATACAAGTCTAAAGAATTTTCATCAGAATTGGATTCATTTTCGCCAAAATTCCATGCCTGTGCATTTTGTAAAGCCTCTTGTATATTTCTAAGTTCTAATCTATCTTGATATCTTAATAATGCTAATGCAAAATTTTGACAAAGCAGGTCTGTAATACGATTTTTTTGCTGATTTATTTTTTTAATCCTATTTATTTGATTAGCTCTTATTGTATTTATTTCTT